TGGAGACGGTCTTCCAAGAGCTAAAAACAATTACGGCTTCTGAGAGAAGATGTCTGAAAGTACCCAACCCTGCTGAAACCGTCACTGTGGCCGTCGATGTTAGCGATATTGAAATCGGAGCAGTGCTGTCATAACCTTCCGGAGTAATTGAACATGCCAGCCGTCTGCTCACAGACGCCAAAAGGAAGTACTCGAGCACTAAAAAGGAGGGCCTGGCGATCGTGTGGGAATTGGAGAAATGGCGAATGTATTTGATTGCGAACACGTTCCACATCAAGACAGACCGCAAACCCTTGACGTGGTTGATGACGGCGCGCGACCAGAGAGGAGGACCGGCGCGATGGGCGTATCGTCTTCAGGAATTAACGTTTAGCATTGAACATATTGACAGCAAGGATAACGGGATTCCCGACTTCCTATCGCGTCCGATCCACGAGGAAGGTGTCCCATCGGAGGCCATTCCAGTTTCCCGGCTGGTTTCGAGCGATGTGGAAATTAATAAATGTCAGGAAGAAGACGACCTGGTGCGAACGACCTGTGAACATCTACGGCCAGAAACGAAGCCGGAAAGAAATTCACCCGAAATAGGAGAATTATTGAAGATCTGAGATCGCCTGCATTTGAACAATGAAACTTTGGTGGTTGAAGTAGACATGGAACGCGGACTGAGACCTAGGCGACTGCCCTTCATTCCAGCAGGCTTTCGCGAACGGGTGTTGAAGCTTGCACACGATAGAGCNNNCGGCATACGAGATAGCACACATGGGACGGCAACGAGTTCTCGACTCATTAAGACATCGCGTATTCTGGCCAACGATGCACCGGGATGTAAATGAATACATCCGTTCTTGCCCCGAGTGCAAACATAATAAATACAGGCCGCCATCAGCACCGCCAGTGCAACCAATAGAATCACAGAGAGTACTTCAAACCTGGGGACTGGATGGGTTTTGAACCTCTGCCTATTAGTCCAAACGGGAACAAGTACATCGTCGTGATGGTCAAACTCGTATCTCGCTGGGTGGAAGCGATACCAACCTCAGATGAAACAGGAGAAACGGTTGCTCGGATATTTGTAGACAACATGGTTGCACGATTCGGTATCCCGGAAAATGTCACTACCGACCAGGGACCGTGTTTCGAATCCAATATTTTTCGGGAGACCTTGGTGCGTTGGGGCATCAAACGAACAAGAACGTCCCCCTATCATCTGCAGGCCAACGGAATGACTGAAAGGTTCAACAAAACAATGAAGGAATGGCTCAAAAATCATCGCGGTGATTGGGAAGGAAGCCTACCGGAAATACGTTTCAACTACAGAACAACATCTCATTCGACAACAGAGATCCCACCCTTCAAAATCACATACGGCAGAGAACTCAGAACGCCTCTTGATGCGTTACTCAGAAGATCCGGCAAACAGCTTTCTACGAAGGAGCGAGACAGGCTGGAGAGAGAAGCGGTTGAGAAAACCAGGCAAAATTAGCAGCGCAACAAGGCAAGGTACGAAAAAGAGCACCGATCACAAAAGTGGCAGCCGTTCGTACCGGGACAGCTGGTAAAAGTTAAGAACCGAGACAGACCCGAAACAACAGGACCGGGGCCTAAAACATTCAAGCAGCGGTGGATAGGGCCATTCACCGTTCTGGAGAGGAAGAACGACAGTTTTCGGATCAATCAGGGTCCCCGAGAAGGATGGGTAAATGGGTAAAAGAATTGGAGCAGTGGTACACCCGCGGCAACCATTTTAGAGGAGGGGCGAATGTGATGAAGGCAGTACAAAGAGAGTCCTGGCAAGCGACCGAATCGAGAATGGGGCTCATCCGACCAGACGCGCAGACACAGCGGCGGGAAGTGCCTCGCGAGACAATGTTGAATGCCACCCGAAACGAGCGAATCGACAATTACAGCCCGACAGACAATCCGCAGCTAACGGGNAACGAATGCCACAACGTTGAAGCTGTCGATCAACGCATCTCGCGCCGAGATCGGATCCAACCAGCCGGAGTGGCACGCGGAAGAAGACGCAACGTACGTGCCAAGTGCGGGCCAAAACCAACAAGGAATGAGCCACAGAAAGAGGCATGAATCATCCCGCCGCACGGTTGAGAATTGACTGTATATAATCAAACGCATACACTGTTTACTTTTGAATTGGATCAATAGACGTTTTCCCAGCCAGCTCGCCTTCTCGCTATAAAATCACTGCAACATTTCTACCTGACGGGAATTGAAGAATAATTCTAATTTATTCGATATAGTCACGGTTTATGGCCATATCACTGATATATTGACGGGTTTCGTGAAGCTGTCTGCCAATGTGGAAATCATCTTTATTGCAGTTTGATGAACGCATCTGTGTTACGAGTCTCCTAAAACCTCAGTATATCGGGAAGTGCGTGTGTCGTGTGGCGGCTAGCCCTCTTCCCTTGCACCTCGCCAAATCCTCTCATACGACCAAACGTCTGAAAAAGTCCCTGATCGGTAAATCCTACTTTAGTGATTGTAGTAGTCTTAATAGCAGTACGCACTGAACTCGGAGTAGGAACCACGCAATACGAATCACGGAATACAAATCAAGGATTAGCAATCACGGACTGGATTACGTAAGCAATGGACCGTACTGGTACTTGTACGCAATATCTCACGTAACCGAGACGCGAGAAAAAGACCACAGGAGTAGTAGTTCGTTTATTGAAAGAAGCAAGGGGAATAAATATGTACAAAACAAACTCATTGATCATCCGGGCGTCTGCCAAGCGCAATCTAATATTTTAGCCGTTATTTTTCTTCTGTCTAGGCCGCACGGGTTCTCATCGGCTGGTGCGATCGACCTATGGCATGTAGTTCAGAAGCTGTGACACACGCGCTTAGCTGACGTCACCCGTGAAGTTTGATTGATCACAGTTGTCCTAAAACTGTAACGCTTCGCTCCAGAACATGCGTCATTTCGTAGGCTGGGATCACCACATCTACTCACTACCTTCACTGGGCGGAGATGCTTACCCACCAAAGTGAGATGACTAAAGGCGGACATCCGGGGTTATGACCGGGTTGGTGGAATTCTGGTATTTAACTTAGTTGATTAGCTAAAAACCCCGATTCCAAACCGACCAAGGAGAGTTGTACGATCTACATTCACCTTACTAGTCGTGATAGAAATTAATGTCTCGGTGGACTATCGAGATGTATTGAGCACCTTCCCCCTTTGAATCTATCCTGACGGTGTATGATCCGATGAACTGGACACCGGGTGACAGTGAATTGCAATTTTCACACACACCCGTGGCCTAGCGGTTCAGGTGTTGGTTAACTGAAAGCTTCAGTTGTAAACTTTCTAAGAAAATTCACTTGCTTTGGCCTAGGAAACCTAGTGGAATCACCCCCTTGAACACATCATGAACTTTTTAAAAGAAATAAAGATCATTATACTGTGATGAGTTTGACTTATAGTCTGAAATTAGGGGTGGGTGTTTCGAGCCTCTTGATGACATCTAAAATAATTTGAGGGAAGAGTTATTTAAACGAACTGGGATCAATTATTCGTTTGAACTAGGCTCGTAACATTCGTGGGTACGCTTTTTGGTGAATCTTTGACAGATTGATAGATCTACCATTGTCTCTAAGGCGGGGCAGGGGAGGGGAAGTGATTGATACGGAGTTGATAAGTGAACAAATACAATTATGATTTAACATTATCACCGGCGATCGGTGGTTACCGGTTGCTGTCCAAGAGATATAATAAAAGATTCGGTAGTACAGATCAATGAACTAGATCTGTGATGTGATATTCTTATGCGAATAGAGGAGCCTAAAAGCAGGTTTGCAAATCGGTGCACTTTTGGCTTCTCTGTTCAACTTCGTTACGCGGAAGTTGTGCTTCTAATATCTGTATTCCTATAACGAACTGAATCTCATCAGAAGAAAACAGAGGGAATGTCACGCAAACAAATATAATAATCATTCTAGGTTGAATCACTAGTTGCTTGGCAATGTCAATCATGAGAAGATTATGTAAGTCCGCTTTTAGGCAAACATACCATTTTTCGACAATCTGTTTCGGCTTGTGGGGAACCGTGTGCCCGGTTGGGAAATGACATTAGGCAATTAGCTTACATGCTAGGTCTTAGATTCGATATGCCTCTTTAAGTTGGATGGATGAGTGGAATGTGAAAAAATCAGTGGTGCTCTGTCGGTTTGGCCTCGTAGCCTAGCTGGTAGAGCGTGCGCTGCACGAGAACTCAAGCGGTGTCCATGCACGTGGGTTCAAGTCCCACCGAGGCTAGTGAACTTTGCACTATCTCACATAAGATTTGAAATATGCCAAACCAACAATTTGGTACAACTAGTCTGCAGAACAAAACATTCTGACGCACAATGAACAATGAATCATATCATTCATTGGTAAGTACCACCATGGAAGTTCAGGACTTCAGATTACCTGACGTTTTGTGAATCGGGTTGAAATGGTCAACTACATTAGTTGTATCAACCGTAAAAAAAGTGTGACGTAAAATTATTCGTAACATAGTCAATTCATTCCACAAACTACATTAGAGTTATATGGGGACGGACTCTGTTGAGTGATTTAAGTACATGGGTTCAAACATAGAGCTCAAGTGCTCTGCGCCTCCAAACCTTGGTCATTAACAGCCAAGCACTATGATCGCAGTAAAGCCGATTAAGTAGGGTCTCCCTGAACTAATCGATGCTTATACCGTGACGGTTATGAATACACTTGGTTAGACACTCACTATCCGTGAAGATCCACTGTCATCTATCGATTTACCCAAAGTCAAGCAGGTACGTGAATACCGCCTATTCAAAGGATTTTAAAGCTTCCAGGAACCAAGAAAGATTGAAAATAACCAAGTATTCGGTGAAACTGTCCGCCAGTTGTAGCAAATACAGTGAATAAAAAAAGTCTCCACAACATCTGTGGTTGTAATTTTTGCGTTCCGATAATGAATGCAACGAGAAAACACATACAGAGACAGAAATCAGCTGAAACACAAACTACGATAGTGATTAGAAACCGTTATTTTCAATTCTTTCACAGAAAATATTTCCAAAAATGGATGCAAACCGGATGAAACACCGAGAAAAAACAGTCCAAACAAGTGCGCGTACGACCCGATACCCCACGACTCCCTGTTCCACTCATACAGACATGTGATCACGATGGCCAGAGTTTCAAAAATCGTCGATTCGATTGTCAGACCGATAACATTTAAAAAAATGTCCCTATGTACCAGTGTCACTGTGTTGATTACATCGCTACTCAACAGCTGGTCATTCGACACGGTTATTCGAGTGTGAAACCTGATTCGACACTTCTCGAAAGAGATGATTTCCAACCGGTATAGTTTACGAATAATCAGCATATTCAGTACGACCAGAGCGAACATTGGAACAGCGTAACGTAGCAAACCGTTAATTGTTTTCAGGATGAACCAATCTGCCCAAGTTATTTGATTCAAGCAAGATCCTTTACTAGAAACCACTCCGGCGAAACTTCCCATTGCACACAACAGAGAATAGATCGGGACGATGGTGTAGCAAATTGTGATGTATAGGTTTGCATGTAGTCGATAGGTTTTCCGGTACATAATCGCCCAAAATCGATCGGCTGAGAAACATACCACGTTTAAGACAATCATCAGACGAATCACTTGGATGAGGTATCCACTCTGAAGAATGTAACACACGAGCGACTTGATCGGTTCTTGTGGAGACCGGGGTTTGAAATTGTTTGTTACGATGGTGACAATCACCATAATACAGAATAGGCAGTCGACAGTGACCTGATTGTACAAGAGTAATTTGGTCAACTTGGAGGAGATTGGAGTGTAAATGAGGGCGTAACCAGTGTAGATATTGAACAGGGCACCACAGGATAATATGAAAGCTATGATAATAATCAAAGATGGACTTCCTGCGTCAAATCCTAGTGAAATGTACACTGTTTCTGAAACATTGGATTCCACATCCTTCATTGTACGAGGTTCATAGTCGAAGTGTGACATTCCCAAAAAGCATTGAACTGAAGTTCACTTCAGTTAAATTCTCCAACAGTACAAGATAGTGATAGATAGGTACAAGATGAGGGAACACTCAATTGAAGCACAGATGAATACAGTGGAATTATATTGGTTCTCGTGCTATGCTGATTGGCCAATATCATTCGGTTTGCGATGAGGCGATAAAATGATGCATACAGACATGAGAATATCCACAGTTCTTGCGTGAATGGAACCAGATAAAATCATGTATGCATTCGGGATGAATGGGGAAACTTTGTTAAGTTATGAATCAACATTTAATCAAACAATCGGGGAAAGAAATAAGATTTATTCATCAGGCAAAGGAAAATCAATTGAGGGGAGGGGACAGGGAGGGAGATAAGTTTCAGACAGAAAAAAAGCATCCCACGAAAGATTGATGGAGGCAGTAAAAAATTGTTCAGGTTGTCCTAGTATTCGATGAATGAACCCATTAAAAGGCATACGCTTATTGCAAACGCGCCAAGTAAGAAATACATTTATTTGTTTGTGGCTGAAATGAAATACTGTTTGGTGTATCAAAGTACCGAGCACATAAGCATGTTGGTAGTTAATTGATCTTTCTCATTGTACCCATGTTTTGTGTGCAGTATCCACATTATTTATGGATCTCTTTTCCCCGCAGCGCATTTAGGACTCTCATCGCAAACTACGCCATTCATTATTCAACAGCCTAAGGACGGATTACCTCATCAGTCCCAATTCTTTGTTCTGTATCAGTTTATGTGCACTTGTAGAGCTCACTGTATTGGCTACAACGAGGTGTTTGGCCAAGAGAATATTTGAAGATTGCCCGACCGCTCTTCAATAAGAAATAGTGAGAAGCCTGAACAGTTCAATCCTGCAACATGTGGGCAACATTGGATACAGGATTGACCCAGGAACATCATTTGTAAGTTTCGTTATAGTGTAACGAGAAGGCGAGCTGGCTGGGAAAACGTTTATTGACACAATCCCAAAAACAACCGATGTACGCGTTCAATTATATACATTCAATTCTTAACCGCGCGGCAGGATGATCCATGCCTCATTCTGTTGGTCAGTCCCTTTGATCAACAGCTCCAATGTTGTGGTATTCGGGAGATACCTTTCTGGCTAGCTACGGATTGTCTGTCGGGCTGCAATTGTCGATTAGTTCGTTTCGGGTTGTAGTCGATATTGTCTCGCGAAGTACTTCTAACCGCTACGTCTGCGCATCTGGTTGTATGGGCTCTATTCTTGATTCATTCGCTAGCCGGGGCTCTCTTTGTACCACCTTCAATCACAATGGCACCTTAGAACCACACCAAAGAATTACGTAAGAAAATCTCAACAATTAATATTATGGAACCAGAGTTGTTTATGCCAGCAACGTAAACTGATGGAA